CATGTGGAGGTGTCCGTAATATAGAGGTGTTAGTAAATGTAGAAATGCCCAGGATTAAGAAGTGGTCGTGATATCGAGGTTCCGGTCATAAACAGGTTTCTGTAAAATAGAGGTGGTCGTAATGCTGAAGTGTTTGTAAATATCGAGGTGTCGGTAATGTAGAAGTGTGAGTGATTTAGAAGTGGTCGTGATATAGAGGTTCTTGTCATAAACAGGTTTCTGTAAAATAAAGGTGGTCGTAATGCTGAAGCGTTCGTAAATATGGAGGTGTCGGTGATGTAGAGGTGTCCGTAATGTAGAAGTGTGAGTGATTTAGAAGTGGTCGTGATATAGAGGTTCCTGTCGCAAACAGGTTTCTGTAAAATAGAGGTGGTCGTAATGCTGAAGTGTGTGTAAATAATGGAGCGTCCGTAAATTTGAGGTACCCGTAGTAAATAAGAGGTGTCCCTAATGTAGAGGTGTCCGAATACTTTCGCAGCAGTCTGAGATATATTAATGTTTAACGTCTAAAACTAACAAAAATCTCCTTTGATTATAGGACAACCCTCATTATACCAAAATTCTACTTGCGATAAGAAGTCAAGTTGACGATCTATATCATTTGCGCACAAAATATTCTCCAAATGAGGCCGTTATGAAGGACCTTCAGGACATTCACACGAAGCTAACGAACTTTATCGAGACAGCTAAGGTCAGTCATAACGTTTCTAAATGACCAAGAGGACTGGATAGGAATTGCTGGAACGGTCGTCGAAGCTCAGTAACTAAATATATAAATAGCATTAAATTGTTATGCTGGTAAAGGTTTCGACGCACGGCGATGACTATGATGGCGGTAATGATAACGTTGAAATTTAGGATGATGTTTCAATTTATGAACATAATGTTTGTAATGTAAAGTTTATATTTAAACCTTAAAGACCTTTGTGCGTCTAAGAATCTTAACGTGATTTTCTCACGAAAATTCGCGATCTTTGGCTGTTTTATACCAATCAGAAAGCAACTTTTAAGAAACGATCGCAAAGGCTCTTGGGTGCACTTGGGACTTAAATGAAAAGTGAAAAAGTTAAAAAAATCAATTAAAATAAGGTCTGGTACCAACTAGTAGTCCTCTAACTCATATTCAACAGCTTAGAAACAAAAACTCGCATGTATTTGTACGACAGCGCGCCAGAGTTGATACCTGGTCTTCAACTATAATCAATATCTCTATGGATAAAGAAACTAACATTAAGGATCTTAAACAAAGTCACTTAGCCGCTAAGGAGACGACGGGTGTGATCGGTTAACTCATTTATCAAAGTATATTTCCTYTTTATCTTATGAGTGAGGAAGTTCTCCAAATAATAGGGCTAGACACAAGTTATATGCTTTTCTTAGAACACCTAGACTTGATACATCGCCCTTAAGGTTTTTTTTTTTTTGTCTAAATATTCAAACATTTCAGTAAAAGCACTTAGGAAAGCTGGGTTTGAGATAATGAAGTAAGTGCAGAATATTTTTGTAATTTGAGGAAGACAAATGGTGATATGTTTTAATRTCTAAAATGACTGCCATTTACTTAAAAGTGCGGTCATTTCGAAAATAAGAGACAGTGGTCTACCCTTGGGAAGTGGATGAAAAAAAAATTAAATGAATAGGAAAATTGGATTGTTAAAMTGASGAGTAARAGCTTTTAAATTCGTTCTTTCAATGRACATTATTTCCTCATACATTTAGGTACTCGGCTAACTAAGCTGGTAAACAACAGATACGTGTTTAAACGATCGGTCCTCTGTTAACGAACGCCTAGTTGTGTATAGCACATAATATCGACCAATTCGCAAGATGTCGGAGCAGTTTGAAAATAGCAATTGCTCGGAACTGAACAATTACAACTCCATCACGGAAAAAAGCTTTCGCATCACTGCTTGGACAAGAAGCTAGTAAATTGCCTCATTTAAAAAAAGAAGTCTTTGCGGTCGTTTAAACGAGGTTTTCTTATCATAAGCAGGTGCTCTTTATCATAAGTACATCGGATTCTTGTTTTTTTAGTTGTTTAATGTCGTATAATGGTTGGCCCTCCATCAACGAGTGTATGTCCTCATAAATTGAACAGTCGTTTAAACGGGGTTGCTGTTTTTTTTAACACATGACTCTTTTCTTGCGTTACAGTATTACCTCTATTAAGCGACCGCTCGGTTTAATCGAGGTTTTTCGTTTTTCCACCTTGCCTCTTTATTGCCGTACAATGATACCCATATTTACCGGACACTTTGGTTTACGCGAGGCTCTTGTTTTTCACAGATGTCCTTGTTTATTTACCATATAAGCCATGTTAAGATTAGCGCGACTTGTTTTAGTCAGYTATCTTCTGTGTGGTTTACATCATATCTATATTGAGATCAAACCGCGTAAAAGGTTTTTTTTATACAAGCAGGCGGAGACATAATAAGAGCGAAAAAAATATTGAATTTGAATGTGAAAGAAAGGGAAAACGAAAATTTAATAAAACAGTATTGGAAACAACGAAAAGAATTTCGAAAGAGAAAACATTACGAAGGAGATAAAGATGTAGCCAGGGCTACTTTGATGTAGTAAATATATATGTTATGACTCCATGCTACGAAGCTACGAAGAAGGAAAGGAAAAGATGAGATGAGATGGAATGAGGAAAAATGAAGAAAAAATATAGCGGTGAAATAAAAGACATATATTATAACAACCTCGTTATCTTAATTCTGTTTTTTAAGACAATATGACCAYCTTAATAGACTAATTTTTGTCCTCTGTTAATTATTAATTGATAACTTTCTTATCAGACACGCAATTTTCATGCCTAAGGCTTAGAAACTTAAACGGGGCTCCTGTGGTAGACGTAGCACAGGAAGCCCAAAAGCTAAAAATGTTCATAATTGGTGGTAATATTTACATGACAAAAGTAACCCCCTCGTGGAGTTTATATAAAGTTATGACTTCAAACACGTTTTGATTCTTTGGCGAGTTGTTTTGCGAAGGGTATCAATTTCCAAAGATAGTTTAGCAGAAAATCCCCTTTTGACTTTTCTGATTTCAGATTGTAAATCCGGATCACATCTTATTTAAAATTTGCGATTTATGGTAAGAAAGCGGAAATATAACCAATTTATTTTCCTGTCTAGAATTCTTCTTAATGAAATGTTTCAATTTCTTTTCTGCTTGTAAACTTTACTTTAATAAACAAAGCTTTTCACTGTTTAATTAGTAATTTTTATTATTTTAAAAAGAAAATATCGTCTTTTTTTCTCCTATATTGTACCTTTTCTCATTTTTCTAATTGTTGGATTTTGGAAAATTTAATTTATAATTACTTGATTTCTCAAAATCATTTGTTAAAATATTTTTTTTTCTTATTATTCTTTTTTCTTTAAAATTGTAAACATTTGATGTATTTACATCAGTTTTTGCGAATCTTTGCATTTAAAATTAGTTTTCCTAGGGACGTTTTCTCAGTGTTATCAATAATTTTTATAAAATGTCACCAATAGTAGTGTATTTCTTTGTTGGGAATTATTTATCTCGACAATCCACCCACCAGAGCGCCAATAACGCAAATCTCTCCTTAAGTTTCGCCTTAAGCAAACTCGCTTCAAATGACTAGTAGTCCCTTATCTTCATAATTTGTATCTTCGGCTACTTCTCTTGTTCAATATTGAACCATTTTATCATCGAAATTCTCCATTTTTCATCTTTATTTTGACTTGTTTGCAATATTCAACGAATCATGGAACATCAATATTCAAGCTGCTACGTATCTCTGGTTTAATTTTCCATTTTATTTCTCAATTACATGGGATATTTTAATCGTAGTATTTCTAGAGGCTCGTGTTTATGTCTCGGGGGGTTTCGAAATCGAACAAAAGGTTATTGTTTTTTCTCTTTGCTTTGCTCTCACCGCAGGAACTAGTCTCTCGGTTAATCCTATCTCGGCAGTAAATCATATTGAAGTGCTTATTCTTGCATTCATTTTACAAATGACTAGCTTCCCTGCTTAAAATATTCTCAAATCACAACCGGCGAGGAATCTGAGACAACCATGRCACATCACGCATAGTTACATTGGCAAAGATCGAGGGGTCCCCTTGTCTAAGGACGCCGACCATTTCCACGTTTCAAAATTCAAACTTGTCTTTAACAAAACCCTCAAAACTGCCATAGAATCTATCCAATGGGCACCAGCCAGAGTCGAAATGCAYCCAAACTCGGTAAATCGGTGGAACTTTTTGTTTTGAAGTCGCGCTACGCGGTTAAAAATTATGTAAAGTTCTTCACAGGGTGTCAGACAAGCGGTTTTTGTTTAGTCACGTGATTCAACAAGCACCTGTTTGAGGTAGGCCTCGCATCCGTATTCATTGATATTCATACAAGGCAAGTGCCGAAGAACAGCCTTAAAAACGCTCGGCGCTTCGTCGCCTTCAAGCGATGGAGAAAAATGGTAAGTTCTCCTGCTAMCTCATGATAAATGACATAAAAACTGGGATWTTTTAATCGGGAATGTTATTCCCTCGCAACCGGTAGGAATTCCCCTTGTCTTTGGCCTCACTTAGGCATGAAAATATAACTAGCATGTATGTACATCTCAGCTGTCAGACGCGAATTTTATGATCAAATTATTCAAATACGCTTTGTATGGAGGCATTTTCTCCCTCATTTTTTCCTATAGAAAAACTAGAATTATTTTAGATGATTTGTGGGCTGAAAAATACAAACTTTATCCGTATGTTGCTGCAAATGGAGCTCTCTGGCTCTTTTCAACAGACATCGATGATTTATTCACAATTTTAAGACTTCATACCTCAGTAGAATTGTTTGCTTGTAAATTGGWAGTMCCGGCAGCAAAAAATCCTGTGAGATTCCTGAACCCTCATCACTATCTTAACCTCACTACAATTTTATTAATCCATATTTTTTGGCTTTCAGATTTGGTGAAGTTTCGAAGTGAGTGTCTTTCCGCGCACAATTTCTACCGCTCGCTCCACGCTACCACACCTTTGATATGGTCGAGTAAACTCGCAGACGGCGCGCAACGATGGGCAGAAGAACTTGCTTCAGCGGATTCCCTCACGTACAGTCACGAGCGCGGAGTAGGGGAGAATATAGCCTGTCTTTGGGGCTCTGACGTAACTGGGAATAAGGTCACTCAGATCTGGTACGAGGAAGCAAAGCACTATGACTACAGTGTGCCACGGGTGACGCCTATCACTCGCCCATTCTGTCAAGTTATTTGGGAGGGAAGTCGTGAGCTGGGAGCCGGGAAATCCACTACTAAAAATGGCAAACAAATTGTAGTTGCTCGATATAATCCTCCCGCGACCAGAAGAAATGCAGAACGGAACGTCAAGAAACCCCGACTGGACAGGATCGACGGGGATTCTTCGCTTGTGCCCCATTCGCTCGGTAAGTACAGTATTAATATTCGTGTAYATGACTAAATGACTTGTGCTCTACATGTGTGATTATTACTAGTTCTCGCATAATTTTTTCTAGTTCTTTGTATGTTGTATATATGCGTGTTCATTTAGCATATTGTTGTGTGTGTCTTCAAGGGTCATTCACGTTACGAGCAAGCCTGTATATACGGCTGCTGAACAATGAACCAACCGTATTTTATTATTTATTTATACACAACGTACCCGTAGAATCGCTTGTGAATGAAAATAGCTTTCGAGAGTAGATTTGAGCTCCGGATTGTAATCCGAGATGGTTTCTGCATGGTCAGTGATCTTGCATTTACGCCGAATTCAATTTTAATTTTTCCTTGTACGAAAAATAATTGTAATTGATTCGGTTTTCTTCTTAAGATAAATTTTCCATTGTTATTCCATATAGATATATTACAGTTTGGACAAGAAACGTAATTTATTTTTAAAAACGTTTAATTTAAAATCTAGGCCGAATGGTAAATTGATATTTCGAGCTTAGAACTCGATTTTCTAACTAATTGTCATTTGTTCAGGATTTAAAAAAATCTTTATTCATGACACGCATACTAAACAAAAAAGAAATAATTTCTTTTGTTAGCATGTACAGGATCCGCCGGTATACGCGAGATTGGGAAAAAAAACCTGTGTTCTATGGAAAAACCTATTAAAAAATGTGTCCAACTGTTAAAAGGTGATTTGATCAACTGTTCTAGAATCGAAGACATGAAATGAACTAGGTCCGGAAAGCCATTTAAATGTTAGAAGGCCAAGCAACACGGAAGGTATTTTCAATGTAAATTTGAATAATCCACGCATTCTTCTTTCGGCTTTTGTGAYATAAATGTAGMTTGTGTGYAGATRAATTTSTAACCCGTTGATCAAGTCTTCTATTTGATCAGTTATTCTAAATTTCAAGAGAAAACCTTTCAAGTGTCAACAAACTTTAGCACTTTTATTGACCTGTTGATTTGAAAAGTGTGGTGCGTATCGCATCTCTGTGTGGTTGCGAATCTGGCACTTCTCCTAGTCTGCGGCCTGAATTCATCGGTTTTGAATTACGAAATTGTAATTTTTAAATAGAAATGCAAAAACATTCGTCGMCAATCCCATCTGTTTGTAAAACAAGATGCGCGATTCGTAACTAAGTTTTGGATATAAAAAGACAACGTGTAAAAAAAGAAAAAAAGAGAAAAAAAAAAAAAAGAATAAGAAACACGAAAAAAAATTTCCGTGCTTTTGAGTAATTTCATCCCTCGATCACTTATGATAATTTAGCATTTAGGTACTGTGATACTATGCATTATTCTTGAATATTTACACTRATATAGAATCGGGATTTCATCTTATCAGTCAAAGGTATTATCCTATATTATCGGTATTCTCAAATAAACCCTTTTAGAATTTTTTTCCAAAAACAATATAGAATCACTTTCGCAAGTAAAACAGAGTAATATTTAGGAACTGATCGAGTCTAAAAAACATTTCTAATCATTTCATGTTAACCCTGAGGAAAACTATGTTTTATTTGTTCACCCTTAAAAATACTATGTTTAGAAATAATCCAAAAAATATCAATTTTTTCCACACAAAATTTGATATTTTTGTATTTTTTTTGGACGAGAAATGGTACTTCACTTAACGTTTGAAACACCTCTGAAGTAAACACTTTTATTATTGTCGAAACCCCCAAACATAAAACAAGTCCACTTATCGCAYGTTATGCAACGACTTTCTAAGTTCATTATCATGGCGAATAGACAGACAGYATTGTCCCTTCATCATCAAATATTAAAGAATTTCCTCTATTTTAAGCCGTGTTTTGCATTAARATAGTTATTTTTGTAATTTTTCAAGGAGTTTATTCTTGTCTCGATATGAATACAGGAATTTGTTGAGTAGGAGTGGAGAATCATGTCCTGTGATAAGGTAACTTCCTTAGAAACAGTCRGGATCTCCTACTGATTTGAGTGGCGAACCCSCMGCRRGAGYTCTTTCAAATTGTCATATTTGTTTTGAACATGTGGCTCCAATAGGGTGTGCGTTAAAGTAAAGTCTTCTCCTGAGTGGCGAATTGATTACATGTCAAAATGTTATGCTGTGTTTTCACCGATAATTTATTCCTGATTGCAGTCATCGATAATTTATTCCTGATTGCACGTTGTCGATAATTTATTTTGTCGATAATTTATTTCTCAGTATTAGACGCTCGGTCTGTTTGCTTTGAAACCAATAAATCTGTGGTAAACACCATAAAAACCCTACCATCTGTTTGTACGTGAAGGAAAGCGATTTAATATACGTCACAGTTGATGTTTTGTGGTAAATTATCATAGTTTCTTTTGTATTAGCCTTTTCTTAGACTTTTCTAGTTAAATAAAGATGTTCTATAAAAGAGACGGAGACTGAGGTTAGCCTCTGACGGTACACTTACGCACGTATCAGTAAACGGAAACAGCCACAGGCTTTTTCACTAGTGAAGTAACCGGGKTAGGAGACAACGGAAACGTAAGCCTCTTATGCGCGTATGGGCCAACGGAAAAATCACTAGACCAGACGTCTAGAGGAGACGGAGGAGACGGAGACGTTAACGTATGCATCTTACGAGGCGCGTCTTCCGCRCAAGATACGCCAAAAGAGGGAGGGATATTAAGACGTAAGCCGATTGCGCGTTACGCGCGTGTTGAAATCACTAAAGTGGTGATTACGCAGAACGGAAGGTTTTTATAAAGGAAATCTGACGCTGTGGTTCCTTCGCCGCTTCCGTTTATGGTTACTTCATGATTGATCATAGGCCCTAAGTAAATACTAATTGTCAGTCATGCTGATTTGTTTTTTTATTGGTGATATAATTGTTTGCGTTTTCAGTTAAATTTTACATGAAAGTAAAATATCCAGAAAACAAGTTAAACAAATTCCAAATGATTTTACAATACAAACTCAAATGTATGATTTCTTTTTTACACAAAAAAATTTGCATTTAAAATTTGTAGTTAAATAATTTTAAAAAAGAAACGAAAAAGAAAATATGAAAGGATTAAAGTGCTACTTGCATGAAAATGGTCTTATTTTAAAAGTTCAAGCAATACAAATATATGACTCATTTTTATCTATTAAAAACAATTGCGGAAAAATATTTGTTTTGGAGTTATCCCACATAAGAGAAATTTTGATTCAAAAGATGGAAGAACAAAAGGATGGAGTAGATGACGTCATCTACTCCAACATTTTTTGCCCAAAATATTAAGTATTTGCATCAATATATTCTTAAAATCTGTTGCTTCATAATTGTTACACCCATATGGATAGGTCTATTTGATTTCCAAGTCTTTTCTAATGTTTCGCAATTTTCGTCCAAGTAGCCCTTTAAGAGGTGTTGAATATAACTGATTTGTATTTCACGGGCGTATGCTGTCAGTTTCTCGGCATTTTTGTAATTGGCCACTATAGACGTATCATGCCATTCGGAAGCATTAGSATCAGTCCCAAACACACCATGTTGTATTTCACGGTTTTACGACAAATACTTTTCACAGCATTTTTTTAAATAATTATGAATTGGCCAGTAAAGCAATATTATATCATTCTTGTGCATTAGCACAAGTCCAGGCCTTAACTAGTTTTTAATGGGTTTTGGTCGGCGAAAAATCATTGGTTGATGAAAAAATTCATTCCGCAAAATAATGAATTACGACAAACTAAAGTAAACGTCCTTAATGTAATTATAATTGACTGCTTTTACAGACTAGGGTCTTTGTACCGAATCAGAGTCGAACCTCTGTTATGCGGCCGTCTATTTATCGGTCACCCTTCATTAAGCGGCCAATTATTATTTCTCGTAATTCGCATCTTGCACATATATTCACTTTGAATTTTGCCTCTAATAAACAGTCAACCTCTCTTAAGCGTCCACCTTGGTTTTCCACCATTAATGACCGAATAAGAGAGGTTCGATCGTAAATTTTCGTTTTATTATATTCACTATGAACTTGACCTCTAATAAACAGTCAACCTCACTTAAGCGGCCACCTGGTGTTTTCCCATTAACGACCGCTTAACAGAGGTTCGATCCTATTTGTCCATTATTCTCAAATAATAATCTCTGTGGGTTGAACGGCCCCCCTGGCGTTTGGTTTATTTGTTTGCGGCTTATTCCTTGGAATCGATTTGGTTGAGATCGTGGTTATCATACTTGCATAAAAATGAAATAGAAACAACATCTTTCCTCGTACTTTTTGATTAATCCTTCTTGATCTTAGCAAATTCGGAATTTTCGTGGGTTAAAATAACATTTCCAAAATGTATGCGTAACTTGTTTCCTACATTATTTAGAATTTTTTCATTTTTTTTTTCTTATACCTTTATTC